TTGGCAGTGACAAAAGTTGGTTTGTTGCCTTTATTGGCAATTTTTTACCCTTCATCTAGAATGAATTGTAATAGTGACTCACATCTTGGATTGATGTTGGTGCTTCTCCAGATCGTATGGTGTGCATTCGCATCGCATCCTATTATGAGGTTGAGTTTCTGCTCCTTGCAATGGGCAATGATTCTGCCTAATATTGCTGGTGGGCATATTCTCTCCTCTCCCGGGAAGTAGGCGGATCATACAACATAGCTCTTCTCTTCCTTATCCGTTTGGATTGATAGCATAGCTGTAACAAAATCACCGGTGCAAGGCACCGGTATTAGCGTACAATTAACGCTGTTGCTGTAGATTATACAAGCGCTGGGTTTTTCATTCCCTTTGCCTGTACATAGCTTACCTTATTGCGGTTTTAGTCCCGCAACTTTTCCACAAACAAGCCAAGGTTCCTGCAGGAGGGCTATATCCAAGCCTTCCGTGTCGAACGTCCTACATATTAATTCTACTTAAACATCTACAATTTTATCAAGAGACGATTTCATAATGAATATTAAAAGGTCCATTAACTAATGGGACCAAGATCTTATGGACTTAATAATCCCATTAGGTTAATGGATCTTTTAATATTGATTATGAACTCGTCCCTCAATAAAAAAATACATTTTTGGAATTATATAGATTTTATGTTTGCGTGGGACTAAAACTGAAAAATCTCGAAAATTGAATGTTCTACAGAGATCAACCAAGAGCTGTGACAAATCTTAACTTTTATGAAATATAGGGTGTTCAAAAAGTTTGGATTAAAATTGTTTTCTTAGTCTTTGATTCTACACCAATGGATAATCGTAATTTATCGAAATTAAATGTATTATTTATGAATGGTGAATAACTGACAAGTACATATTTTCCAATGAAAAATTTTACCGTATCGAAAGATATTTAGAAAAGTATGTACTTATGAACTTCACTTCACTGGGGCTCTGTGAAGCTGGCCCCGCGAAATTCGAAAATGTTAGCTTTAGAAGCGACATACGTTTGACCACCTACTAACCATGTTTGACCACTCACTAACTTTTTTTGCCCACCCTCAGAAACTTAAATATTTAAAAAAATATTAATGGCCGAGTCCCCGCTGGACCCCGAAGTTAATATTTTTTAAAACTGACTGCACCATAAGATTAACCAATTTTTGACCATGTTTGACAACCCCTTAGATTTTTTTAACAGCTCCTAAAATAATTTAAAAGGGGTAAATTATTGAAAAACAAGAGTTCTGGGATGAATTTCAACTTTGAAAGATAGATCAATGGTCAGAAAGGCACAATAGAATCCAAAAACGTTTAAAATTATGTATCGCTGTTTGATCACTCCCTTAAATATCTTAAAAGATCCCAGAGGAGTTAAAAAATCAAAGAAAACATTTCCCAATTCAATTTCTAGTTTAAAAAATTGTCAACCAACATAAGGACATAATAAATATCCATAAAGGTTTGATTTTCTAGAGGTTTGCGCATAGACTTTCCGTGATTTTCTATGATTTTTCCTAATATTTCACTCATACTACACTAGATTAACAACATTGTACTCTAAAGGAGTTTGTGTGTTGCATATGGTTCACTCTCCCCTTCGTCTCCTTCTCCTTCTTCTCTTCCTTCTCCTCCTCCTTCTCCTCCTTTTCATCCTTCTCCGCCTTCTCATCTTTCTCCGCCTTCTCATCCTTCTCCTGCTTCTTCTTCTTCTTCTCCTTATCCTACGTAATGTTACTGTTGAACGTAAAGTTAGGTTATATGACAGTTGTTCCTTGACACTTATGACTGTTAGGTTGGCAACTCTGTTGGCTTTGCTGCTGCACTCTCTTTAACGTCCCCGTTTTCTTCACAACGACATTTTTCTTGTTTGAATCAGACCAATAGCAACTGAGATGCACGATGCTGCCCTTATTTGAAATACGATAGCTGCCATCTCGGATCGCTTAACCGTGTCGCAAGTCGAGTCGCACCACTGACAGGTTAGATGACGTCTCCACTCACCCACTCATGCGGTAACAGCTATGTGTGTTAGATCTCTGACCCATTCAAATCAGGCACAGGCCATTGCGCAGGATATGGAATACGATAACCGCCGCCATCTTGGATCGCTTAGCCGTGTCACAAGCCGAGTCGCACCACTGACGGGTGGCGTGACGTCTAGTTGACAGGTTGCGCCATCTCGTGGCGACTCTTGACTCATGTTAGGTTATGTTGGCAACACTGGATTGGCAACTGACCATTGGCAGCACTGGATTGTCAGTTGACAGATGACATGACAGTTGACGGCTGTCATTCGAACTTCGACTCCTGACCTTGAAAGCAACAAAAATTGGCAGATTTCCCATGTTAATTTACGTAAGGAATGAGGCCGAACTGTTGCAGTACCTTTACTATTATGTTTTAACTTTTGACCACCCCCTAAAATAATTTAAGTGTTTCTAAGTAGTGTGAAAATCCGAAAAATATAATTTGGAGAGGACATTTTGACTTGGAAAAAATGGTCAAACAACAAAAATGCACAATAAGGTTCCATAATGGTTTTAAATTATGTCTTGTCGTTTGACCACCCCCTAAAATACTTTTGATGTGCCCAAGTAGTGTAAAAATTTGAAAAATAAAATTTGGAAATCGAGTTTCGCCTTGAAAGAAATGGTCAAACGACATAATTGCACAATAAAGATTCATAACAATTTAGAATTATGTGTTGACAATTTTAATGTGCCCAAGTAGTGTGAAATTTCGAAAAATAAAATTTGGAAATTAAATTTCCACTTGGAAAAATTGGTCAAAGAACATAAGTTTGCAATAAAAATTCATAACGGTTTAAAATTATGTTTTTACGTTTGACCACTCCCTAAAATAATTTTAATGTGTCCAAGTAGTGTGAAAGAATAAAATTAAAAATCGAATTAAATTTTTTTTAGGGGGTGGTCAAACATCAAACCATATTTCTAAATCGTTATGGATCTTTATTTTAAACTTATGTCCTTTGAGCATTTTTCAAGTGGATATTCGATTTCCAAATTTTATTTTTCGAATTTTCACACTACTTGGGAACATTAAAATTATTTTAGGGGGTAGTCAAATGTCAAAACATATTTCTAAATCGTTATGGATCTTTATCGTAAACTTATGTCCTTTGACCGTTTTTTCCTAGTGGAAATTCGATTTCCAAATTTTATTTTTCGAATTTTCACACTACTTGGGAACATTAAAATTATTTTAGGGGGTGGTCAAATGTCAATACATAATTTTAAACCGTTGGAGATATTTATTATGCCCTTATATGGATTGAGCAATTTTTTGAACTAGAAATTGGACTGGGAAATGTCTTCTTTGAATTTTTAATCCCTCTGTGGTCTTTTAAGATATTTTAGGGAGTGATCAAACGGCGATACATAATTTTAAACGTTTTTGGATCCTATTGTGCCTTTCTGACTATTGATTTATCTTTCAAAGTTGAAATTCATCCCAGAACCCCTTTAAATAATTTTAAGGGGTGGTCAAACATGGTCAAAAATTGGTTAATCTTATGGTGCAGTTAGTTTTAAAAAATGATAACTTCGGGGGGCCAGCAGGCACTCGGCCATTAATATTTTTTTAAATATTTAAGTTTCTGAGGGTGGTCAAAACAAAAAAGTGAGTGGGTGGTCAAACGTGGTCAACAGCTGGTCAAACGTATGCCGCTTCTAAAACTAAAATTTTCGAATTTCTGAGGGCAATCTTTACAGAGTTGAAAACTGGGACGTTTACAGGAAAGTTATATTTAGCTTTTCCTTATAATTAGTTAAGATCTATGAGTCTCACAATGTACGGTACTTTATTCTGAAACACCCTGTATAACAATATTATATTTGTTTTTAAAATAATATCTAAATATGTTGATATTGTTGAATGAATAATTTCATAACGAATTTAATTTATTTAATACTAAATCATATACAGAGTATTGAATTTAAAAAATTGATAAATTCAACTTAGAGTTGGATATAGTAAAATTTTTAAATTCTAGAAATTACTAAATTGATTAAATTGTTTTTCTTTCTGGTACATTTTGTCATTTGAATTTTCGCGTTATGCATTTGTTGGGTTTTCAAAAATGTACATACAGTGAATTGTTGCAGTTTTTAGGATAACATTTTTTGTATAAAAAAAATATATTTTCATATTAGTGATCAGTTTAAAATGAATTCTACATTAATTACATTATCATCATTTTAGGAATATCATTTATCATTAACGAAAACAGTGAAATGAGTACCTTTAAAAAATTAAGTTTAACAACAGTAGACAAACTTTATTTTATTATTCACCTAAAAATAAAAAAAAAATGCCAAAAATACTCTCAAACATAGGGACTTTTAAAAAATGCAATTGTTTTACAATATTTATTTTAAATTTCTCGAATTTTCATTTATCGACTGGTTCTAAAATAGTGTATGATTTTAAAATGGGAAATAAATTGCTTTTAGTATTAAAATTGACTCTATAAACCTATAAAGCAGATTAATTGATTAAAAAAAACAATAATTGAGATTGACGTTTACAAGTGCAATTTTAATAAAATTGTACCAATCGATCTTTCAAACAGAGTTATTTCAATATTGAATCAAATTTACTGCATGTCGATTAATTTGAACAATATAAATTTATAAAGGATAATAATTGCATCCACTATAATCACTATATGAGGGGAAAATGGCAAGCGAAGACATATTACATTAGCTGAGGATTTATATTTGTGGAAATGAATCCTTTTGATGACAAATAATTTTAATAAAAATACTCAATAAAATGATTATTTAATAATCAGACTTTATTGTATGATTTCAAAAGTTGTATTCGTTAGAATATATCGCTATTTTTGGCATTTTTATATTCATTTTTAATACAAAATAATATAGACGAAATACTCATTTCATTGTGATCACACGAATAGAAAAAACACCGTAAAATTTGAATTTGGCAATGCAGGAACAATTGGACTATATCTGCAACGTCGGCAACGTTGCCAGACACGACAACTTTCATATCCCTGAGTATTTCCAAGAATACGATCCAGGCTATTTCCAGAGATATCCAGATTACCTGGCGAACATTGTATGTCCAAAAATTGAATTAACAATTATGCCAAAAGCTGGAATATCGTTGTATTGTTTGAAATTAATAAAGAAGATTAGTAGGTACATGGTGGGCCAGTTAAATTTTACAAGAGATGTAGGTATTTAAAAAAATATATAATAAAGAAAGCAGTTTTTACTACTGATTAAGATCATGTACATAGCACAGTATTATTAAACATTAAAACTAGTCGGTAGTTAAAACTACAATGATAGAGATGCCGTAGTAGCTTTTAATATTACAAAAAAATATATTTTTGAATTCAAATTGATTCATTCGAACTTTTTTTAACTCTCTATGAACTTAGGCTCTTCCAATTCACAGATTGACGCTTAGTTTCTGGGTCATAAGTAAAAATCAAGAGTCATCATATAAATTGTCGGCTATTGAACACTTTCCAATACGCTTTGCAAATATCAAAGTGACAACTACAGAAATTTAGTATTAGGGCGAATAGGAAACGAATAATATCACCTTTGCCGTGTAAACTGTGTGATGTGAATAGTCACACAACGTAAGATATTGCTAAACCATACCAACTAGAGCCATGGAAGTCATTCTTAGTCTCACTGCCCTTATATTTAGGTTGGCAGGAGGTGTTCGATACGCTACCAGTGCTTCAAGCGAGATATATCTTCCATAAGCCATATAAAGTTAGAACAAATAGAACAGCCGGAAGTGGCAGGTACGATTCATATCTACACTTCTATATCGACGGTTCTAAAAAAACATGGCTCAGGATGTGGACTAAAATCCAGATCCTTAATAATAAAATGGGCTGTAAACAATAGTACCGGTGTACCTGAAGGAACATGCTCATCTATACAGATATCAGACCAGGGTTAGTACTAGAATATCACGAAGCTTTGGTCGAAGTATCATTTTCATTTCAAAATCTCTTTATTTGCAATATGTACAATTTGACTAATAACATACTAAACAATACAATTGAAGCGGACTTCTTCTCAGTGTCTTCTTCGGGAAGTGCTCCTAGACTGCTATGACCCCAGACGAGGCAAAAAGAATGGTGGATGCATTCGTATGTTTAATACTGAAATGTCCCTTGACTAATCCTTGATGTCTAATTAATTTTCTCTGGTTGGTTGTTTTACCCTCTATCACTATCGGAGGCATGCAGGTCTTTTTCTTGGGGGTGTTTTGGGCGGGGTTGAGTTTAGTGTTTGTGTTTTTAGTTTCTGCTGGTTTTTCTGCAGTCTTGTGTTTGTTCGTTATTTTCATTGATTACTGTGTTTTCATCCCCTTGTTTGGCCATTTTTCTTTTTTTTTTTTCACGATTTTTCTGATCTCATTTTCATACTCTGATTACCTGTTTTATGTGAGTGTCTCTTTGGACTTCTCCCTGATTAGTTTCTGGAAGATGGAATTCAATCATTTCGAGGTTTGGAAGGGTGGTTCGTTGTTTGTGAAGGGGTTGGTTTCAATTTTTTCGGGGGGTGAGGCTTCCCCTTGTTTTCTCAGGACGAATACACTGTTGGGTCAGTGGGGTAGTTTTTCGAAAGCTGTATTGTCTTGTGGGGCCCCATTCGTGCCCTTATTTTCATCCTCGGACGTATGGTTTCCAGCATTTAATTCCATGATATTTTGTGACAGGGTAGGGGGTAAGTCAGATTTTAGAACTCCAATTTTGATTCGGGGATCACTCGGAATTCTTATGTACTTATTATTTGTTCTTGTTTCAGGGTTGATGCCAGAACAGGATGGTTGTGGATTGAGGTTTGTTTAGTGTGTCAAGGGGAGTAGGTAAATAGTTAGCACGGAAGTTACTCAGTTCACCCCCTAATTGGCTCGTTCCTACTCCTTCGTAGCGTTGAATTGTTTTCGGGTCCGCTTTTGAAATCGCGCCTGCGCCTGTAGTTGTATTTTCGCTAGAATTTGGCAGTTTAGGGGTGTCTACCGGTGTTATAGTGCCGTCATCGGAAAATGAGAGGCTCTGTCCAAAATCTAAGGTTCTAGCTTTGACTTTGCTTGGCATCTGTAGAGTCATGTAGTTGGATTTAAAATTATCGAGGTTTTCTCCATACTTTCGAGTGTTAGAAAAATGGGTGGATTTTTTAACTGTGTCCGGGGTTCCGTCCCCAGTATTGTCTTTCTTCATCTCTAGAACGGTCGTGTTACCATTTTCTGGACTTTCTGTCCCGTCAGAAGAGTCTTCGAGAGTATTGATTAGATTCTCCAAACTTTCGTTTGGATCTGACCTGATCACTCAATCAGTGTTCTCCTGACTTTCATTTGGCGATGTGGACGTATTATCTTCGCTGCAGTCGGTTTCGGCAGCGTCTTCCGGCTATGTGAGTGCTTCGTACGCTTTCTCCGAGGTTTCTTTAGTATTCTCCGAAGTTTCTTTAAGATTCTCCAAACTTTCTTGGTTTGCGGTCGCGGATGTCTGTGTGTTTGGCCGTGCGTCTTTCGCGTCTTTCCTTAAATTTTTTTGAGGGGAATTTTTGGCCAGGGGTCCTTTCTGAAGTGAGAAGTTGATTCCTCGGTATTAGATGTTGGTTGTTTCCCTTTACTGGTACTCACGGTCTTGTAAGGGTGGAGATGCTTCGACTTGAATACTTTGGGGCTTACGATAGCTGTATGTTTATTTTATACATTGAAATGTACACTAACTTTCGCCAGTTTTGTGGAGGCTGCGATTCGGTCACGAACTCGTGAATACAATGTCTCGTATCCGGTTTGGACTGGCCCGGAGGGCTCCGTCATTTACCACGGAACTCCCGTTTTTGAGTTTTACTTACACTGGCGCTTAATCAAAAAATATAACTGTTTATCAATACGTATGGCCGGTTTAGTAGTCACTAATACTCAAAATTTACTACGGAGTGGTAAACGAATGCCCAGAAAAGTTCTAGGTAAACTGAGCCACGAATTTCCCAGAAAAAAACTTAATGAATTTAATGTTTTTGTATATTATGTATGTTTAGTTCCTTAGCTTAAAGTTAATGTCAACGTCAGCCATGAATGCATTGTATGTTTCTACGATTTCTTGTCCATTTCTACATTGTAAAAGTTTTGCGTTTAAGGCTCTTACCGCTCTAGTTAGTTCACTTATATTGATTATTTTACTAAGCGTAGCGAATTCATTGTTTAGGGCCGTAAAATCATCCATGGCCAAGCCTAGGGTCTGTCGCGGTCTATCTTCTCTTGGGTTTCTGTCTAGGGTGTATTGGCTTCCATTTCTAGTAGGTAATGCTAGGAAATCTTCTCTAGTATTCGTATTTTGGCTTTATGCCTTCCATTGGTTATTAACCAGCGGGAACAAACTTTTGTTGATTTCTGGGCATTCTTTCTATAATTCTGTCTATTTTTGAAGTGTAGTTCTCACATTTTGTATAATTTGCGGGGTGATCACCACAATTTGCACATGTTGCAGGTGTTTCACGCGTTTTTATGCAAGAACGCGTGTGGTGATAACCTGCGCATTTTAAACAACGGGCTGGCTGGCCACAGCTGGTCGTGGCATACCCCCAGTTATGGCATTGGATCATCATTTTCATGAATTTTCGCAGTTTCCATATGACTCTCTACTATAGAACCCTGCGCGTGTTTTTGTTTAGGTAATCCAACGTTATCACTGGATCAGTAACCACCTGAAATAGGGGCCTTTCTTTTGTCCTCATTTGATATATAGCACGAGGTTTGATCTCGTACTCTTTCTTCTTGGAGGGTTTCTTCAATATCTTCTGTTTTGGTTCCTGCGGCCAGCCCTCTTAGAACAAAAGCGTGTGATTTGTCTTTCCTTGTTGTGTATGTGTGAAACGGCAATTTTTCGTTTTTAGTTTATTCTAAAACTTTGAATGAATATTATCGTGGTATAGTTCGTGTGCTTTTAGCTGAAGTCACCTTTAACTATTTCCCTCAGGTCTTTGATTAGTTCACTTTGGTTTGTTGTTTTACCGTCGATTACTATTGGCGCCATAGTGATCTTGTTTTTGTTACCTCTGGTTTCGGGTTTTGAAGTCTGTGGTGCTCTTTGTGTAACTTTTTGTGTGTGAGGTACGTTATCCAAGTTCAGATGCTTGAATTTCTTCCGCTTTTTCACAATTTTCCCATTCTCATCGTCCGAATCTGTGTCGGATTGGTCAGTTAATACTTGGTACACAAATGTGGGGGTAAGAGATTTTTTAGACTTCTCCCTTAGCAACTTTTGGAAGTTGGAGCTAAACTTCCTGGGGGCTTTGAACTGATCGTCTTTTGTTAGTGGGGGTTGGTCAGCTTCCATCTCGGTATCTCTGTCGTACATTGCCCTTTTAGCAGTTTCATGCTCAAACAAGCTATTAGGCGAATGGGTTAGGTTACTGTACTTGTCTTTAGTTGAATTTCTTGACTCTTCTTCAGAGGTAACACTATTTGAATCGTATCTCATTATATTTTTTGCAAAGCTACTGGGAATTTCATTATTTTTAACCTCTATTCTGATGCGAGGATCACTATTCAGTCGTGTTAAATTTCTTGAGTCACCCTTGGTTACCGAGCGACAATTTTCACCTCTAAATTAAAATTTTAAATGTACAGTTTCGGGAGGTAAGACATTTTTTAATGCAATTTCTGCTTTTTAAGGATCTTTTTCCAAATTTTGATTATCTTAAATAGTTATTGAAATATTTTCAAAAAACCAAACCATTCTTTTTTTACGTTATTGTTTATAACTTTTTCAATTTTTGGCGGCTCCTATTGTCCAAAATCATAATTTTTGGTGGTTCGACCTAGGTTTATGACGAAATAGCACTTATGAACCAGATTATAGACAGCATCTGCGCCTGATCACAGGCATTCTGACAGGTCATTTCCAAGTACGGAAGCATCTTCATTGTATGGGGGGCATCAGTATCTGCACGAACAAGAAGATGAGAAAACTATCGAGCATATCCTCTACGATTGCCCAATACTCTCATTTATTAGAATATTCGTGTCAATTACATTAAATCTGTAGGCTAACTCACGATTTAGGAGATACC